TGCTCCAGGAAGGCTTCTTGGAGGAGGAGTCACTTGTGCTGAGCCTTGAAGGAGCTGGCAGCTGGGGAAGGTGGGGGAGAGGTGAGTGCTTCTGAGCTCAGAGGTGGTGAGTGGGGAAGCAGCCAGAGGGGCTTGAGCGCCGGCTAAGGAGAGTCTGCTTCTCTGAGTGATGGCAGCCCCGAGGGTTTCATGTGTTTGTGGCTATCGAGGGGAGCCCACAGGTTTTTCTGGGGTACAGGAACGCTATTTTCTAAGCAGACGATCATATCTCCTATGAATAATGATGGTTTTATCAGGTCCTTCCAATATTTCTACCTCTTACTTCTTTTTCTTGCCTTATAGCAGCAGTTCTCAACCTGTGGGTCGTGATCCCTTTGGCGGTCGAACGACCCTTTCACAGGGGTCGCCTAAGACCATCCTGCATATCAGATATTTACATGACAATTCACAACAGTAGCAACATGGCAGTTATGAAGTAACAACAAAAATAATTTTATGGTTGGGTCACAACATGAGGAACTGTATTTAAAGGGCCAGAAGGTTGAGAACCACTGCCTTATAGCGTTAACAGACACATGGGGGGTAGTATGGTGAGAACACACCTGTCTTATTTTTAGGAGACTCTTAGCTTAGCTTACAAGGAAGGGTTTCAAGGGAGGTTTATGTTTCGGCAGGATCCCCCCACCCTCCTTCTCTCCACCAGTTGCTCTGAGGAGAAAGGGTCCAAGTAGGACCTGTGGCCAGGTGATGGGGGATGGCAGGTGGGAGGTGACAGGGGGAGACAGTCGCCCTGGGGTACGGCCCAGGGTGCAAGCAGTCACCTGCTTCACGTGGCTGGTGTGGAGCTTTCAAGGGTGGGGTGATGGCTCAGCCCAGGGGAGGTGGGAGGTTGGGGGTGGGATGGGCACTGACGGAAGACGAGGAGGGTGGGAGGGCAGGGCTAGGAACAGGGGTGGACGCTGAGGCTGGGGGTAAGGAAGGGAGGAAGCCCAGGCCTGGCTTCTTGGTCACAGTTGGGTGGCACCCGATGGGAGCTCCCAATGACCGTGGCTCCTGGGTGGCATTGCTGCCCCTCCCGCTGGCTCTGCAGCTGTGTTGGCCTGACCTGGGGAGTGTGGGACCAGGGCTCAGGCTGGGCTTGGGTTTCCTGGGCCTTGAAGCTGGGCCTCTGGACACGGAGGGCAATGGGGCAGGGAGCCAGAGAAATGCCCTAGGGATGCGTGGAGGCCAGTGCGGGGCAGGGCCAAGGTGGAGTCTGCAGAGTCCAGCCCAGCAGGCCCCACCGTGGAGCCCAGGCAGGCCAGGCAGGGGCGACCTGACACTGCGGGTGCACTCCTCCTCCAGGCTGGCTCCGGGGTTACGGGGAGGCGGCTGGTGCTCAGAGGCTCTCGGGCCAGTAGGAGGGGACAGTCCCAAGTGCCCCTGAGCCGACAGGTGGTGCAGCACAGTCCAAAGGCTCCACAGCCAGAGCTGTGGGTGCAGGTGAGGGCGCTGCAGGTGAGGCTGAAGGTCTCCCCGATGCTAGGCTTTAGCTGCCAGGCTGCGGGCTGGGGCGTGGCCCGAGCGGTGGGAGCCTCTGTGGGGCTTAGAGTAGGGGAGTGACCGGCTGCCTTGTGCCTTAGGGCGGTCAGGAATGGCTGGGGGAGCTGCAGGAGCAGGGCCACGGGGCTGGGGGCCTGGCTGGGCCCAATGGGCCTGTGCTGCAGCTCTGATTTGAGCAGGCTGGGCCCCAAGTAACCTCCCACGAGACCACTCCCAGCTGCCCCATTGTCTGAGGAAGAGGGGCGTTTATCCAAGGCGTCCCTTGAGACAAGCTTTACCCGTGCAGGTATTCGGACATTTAAAGTAGTTGCCAGCAAAAAGACTCCTTTGAGCTGGCAGGACCAGGAATAGGCATTTTCACCTGACCTTATATTAGTACTAGAGGCCCAGTGCGTGAAATTCGTGCATAGGGCGGGGGGAGGGGAGGAGTATCCCTCAGCCCGGCCTGCAGCCTCTCCAATTTGGGACCCCTCAGGGGATGTCTGACTATCAGACATCCCCTGAGTCAGACATCCCTCTCACAATCCGGGACCATTGGCTCCTAACCACTCACCTGCCTGCCTGCCTGATCGTCCCTAACCGCCTTTGCAGGCCTGATCACCACCTAACCACTCCCCTGCTGGCCTGATGGCCCCCAACTGCCCTTCCCTGCAGGCCTGATCACCCCTAACCACCTCTTCCTTGGCTTTGTCCAGAAGGAAGTCGGATTTCCATCTGGAAGATGGCCGGTTGACCTAGTCTAATTAGCATATTACCCTTTTATTAGTATAGATCAGTGGTTGGCAAACCACAGCTCGAGAACCACATGCAGCTCTTTGGCCCCTTGAGTGTGGCTCTTCCACAAAATACCACGTGCGGGTGTGCAGGTACAGTGCGATTGAAACTTCGTGGCCCATACACAGAAGTCGGAGGCCAAAGAGCCGCATGTGGCTCACGAGTCGCGGTTTGCCGACCACTGGTATAGATCATTATGGCTGCCGGAGGAATTATGCCCCACAAATAGTTACAGTTGCAATTCACATGCAATTTATTCTCCTTTTAACATTGCAGTGGGCACAAAGCTTATCAGCACACAGCACACTGTGACTCACAGAACTCCTGGTGCTGTGGGTACAGGCTTAGCGGGACCCCAAAACATGGCTTTCCTCTGGGGCTGACTGGCAAGTCAGGTCAGGAGTTTTAGGTTTCAGGGGGCGTTGCACAGAGGAATGGGGAGGGAACTGCACCCAAAACGGAAGGCTATGGGCGAAGGTAAACTTCCAGCCGTCAAAGCCACCAGTGCAGCGCAGGGATCAAAGCAATCACGACTACAAAGCTCTTTTGTCAAGCGATGATGGGGCAGGGGGTCTCTTCGGGGGATTCATGTTTACAGCCCGTTTGCACCCACAGCAGTCCAGGTGTTTATCTTACAGCTACGCCAGGGTTACAAGTGTTAATCAGCAATGACACAGGCGAACCTATGTCTATCATAGTAAGTCACTCTCAGTCAGTAATCGAAGTTCAATTCCTTATCTAAGGGATACACACGTTCAGGATAGTGGCGTATGTGTCCTTAATATTACACTTCGAACTTCAGGAAAGTTAACTCAAACATTTAAAAACCTTCTTTCACATTTTTAGACGTTTTTAAACATTTCTATATATTACTACAACACCCCTTCCCCCCAGAATCTGCCTCTAGGCTCCGGGGAGACCTTCAAGTCTGACATCCTCCTGGCATCTGGGAGCTGCCAGCACCTTGGGCCCCTCTGCCAGCTGGCACGGTCCTCACCGCCACGCCTGCCCCTGCTGGGTGCTGAGGGGTGGGGAGAGCAGGGGACCCGGCTCCTGTGGCGATGCTCCCTACCTTGTGTGCGTGGGTCTGAGTCAAGGCAGGGTCGCTGAGCTCTGGCACCAGGGAGGACGGTGACCTGTGGCCGGGGCGGGGCCAATAAGGAGCCATCAATCACCCGGCCCGCCCCTCCCTCAGCAGAGCCTCCTGCCAGCTGCCCGCAGCCTCTGCAAAAGGAAGGTAGGTCTCTGCTGGCCCCTGGATGGGGGTGGGTGAGGGCCTGGGGAGAGCCTGGTCCTGCCCGATGTCCAAGGACCGGGTGCTGGCCCTCAGCTGGCCTCTGTGGGGGGTGGCAGCTGGGAATGAGCTGGGGCTCAGTCTCTTGGTCAGTGACTTCAGCAGGTCCTGTCCTTCCTTTGCCCGTTTCTCTGAGGCTAAACCCTCCACACACCCCTGCTGGGACCTCCAGTCCAGCCGTCCAGCCGGCAGAAAAGGCTCTCTCCTCTCCCACCCAGAGCTTCACCTAAAGCCCGAAGCCAAGCACAGCCATGCTGGCTGAAAGGGAATGTGCCAGAGCCTGGGGGGCCTGGGTGGGCAGGGCCAGCCTCTGATCTGTGCCTCCAGAGCCTAGGGCCCCTCTCCTCACCTGCTATGGGGGCAGATGTAATGGGTGAGAAACTGCCTTGGGCACCCCCAGCTCCTAGTTAAATATAGACCAGGGCCCCTCCCAAAACCTCCCCCGGCTGGCTGCAAGTCCCCGATAAGCTGCCTCCTCCAATGCCCGCAAGCTGACCCCTCCTCCCTCTGGTTCCGACTCCCCCTGGGAAGGGGGGCTCCCAAGAGAGTCTGAGTGCCCCTTGAGCAGAAGCAGTTAGGCCTGACAGGCCGAAAGGGGGTGAGCTGAGGCCTGGGAGGAGGCGAACGCTGTGGTGGTGGCTGGCATTTTAGGCCTGAGGACCTGAGGTCTAGGAAGTCCTGGATGTGGTTGCTGGTCCAGCCCAGGGGACCGTGGCTCGGGCTGGGCCCCAGGAACTGCCTGCCCGTTTTCCCTCTCCACCTCTGCTGGAGGGTCTGGCCTGGCAGAGCGGTGAGGATGGGCACCTGGGGGAGACCACTGGAAGGGGTATCAGGGGGGCTGCCTGGAGGAAGTGGCTGTCTACCTCTCCGCGCTGGCTGCAGCCTGGCTCAGACAGCACTGGCCTGAGAGCTGCCTGGTGACACGCCATTGTGACAGCCCAGGACTTCTCCCCCTGGGGGAAGTGTCCCTGACCACGCGACTGGGCCCCCACCAGGCCCCACCGGGCTCACGGGCTTCTGTCCCGCTCCCCATGGCTGGGCACCCTCAGGCCGCCTGTGCTTCCTCTTCGTCCCCAGCTCTCCTGCTGCTGCCATGCAGACCACACCTCGGACAGTGGCCGCTGGGCTGGAGCTGCACAGCCCCAAGGAGCCTGGGGAGCCACCGACCCCAGTGCCGGGCACTCGGCGGGCAAGCAGCGGGGAAGGGCCCAGCGCCCAGCGCGAGGCCTTGATGCCGGGCCTGGGCACCTTCCAGCGGGCCTTCTCCCGGGTGAGCCAGCGGGCCACGGGCCAGGCCTCGGAGGAGGACCCAGGCCTGCTCCGCCGCAGCTCCCGCTTCCTGTTCCGGTCCCTGCGACGCTCCAAGGACCACAGGCCGGCCGTGGACCAGGGCCAGGCCACTGCTGTGCCCGGGGCAGGCCACCGCCCCAAGGAGCCCTCCAGGGCCATTGACGGTGTCGGCCAGCAGGCATCCCCCAGGGAGGAGCCGGAGGAGCTGGAATCTGAGGCAGGTGAGGGTGGCACCAACAGCACTAAGCGGGGGGGAAACTGAGGCCAGAGGGTGGACAGAGGAGCCCGGGTCCTGCCAGGCTCTCCCCAGCCCCCCAACCCCTGCCCCCGCACAGTTGCATTTTAAATTCCTCTGGCATTTCCCGTGGGCGCAGGAGAGGGAGGCTCGGAGAGATGAAGTGACTCTCACGCCTCACAGCTGGGACGGGAGAAATGGCACTGGAATCCAGACTTGTGGCTCCTGAGCCCTGGCCTCTTCCAGCCTCCCTGGCTCCTGCCCGAACTAGTGATGGGCAAGGCGCTGCCCTCTTAGGTCACGGGTCACAGAGCTTGCAGGGAGCCATGGCGGCCTGGAGGGGCGGCCGGGGCGGCCCAGGAGAGGACACACAGGTGCTGTGCCCTGAACGGGGGGGCGGGGGGGGGGGGGGAGTAGAGGCTCCCAGAGCAGGGGGCTGGCCCTGAGCAGAGCAGCACAAAGTGCTCCAGCTGGACACGGGGCAGCAGCCTGGGCATTGCAGTCTGACCCCTGGACCTGCAGGAGGGGCTGCCCTTGAGGCCCAGATAGGGCTCAGCAGAGCTGGGATGGCGGGAGCAGAGGTTGGGGGGAGGGGGCAGGGGCTGATCCACATGCTGTCTGCAGCCTGGCTTGGGCCTGGGGTTCTGCCTCTTCAAACGTGATTCAGGGGGTTCCGGCAGTTGGGGAGGTTGCTCCCGGAGCGGCCTTCAGCCGAGCTCTGGGGCCAGGCAGCGCTGCTCCGGGGTCAGACTGAGGGCTACAGGCTCGCGGGATCCCCTCACTGCCCCTCTCCTGCCTCCTGGCGAAAAGGCAAGTCCGTGGCGGATCTCATCACCGAGTGGCAGCTGCTGGCGGCCTTCGAACAGCTGCAGCGCCTGGAGACACAGCTGGTGGCAGAGAAAGCGTCGCACACCTTCGAGCGGGACCCCACGGGCTTCGCGCGGCGGGCCATGGACGTGTGC